GATCCTAAGATTATACTTGTGAAGTAGAGTACTAACTAAGGGGAAAAGAGCATCCTTTGACTAGATAACTCAAGGTGGAAAGGAGTCAGCTACAATTAGAGCCAAATAGTTGAAAATTTGGGTTAGGAGATATATATATATATATATATATATATACACACACATACACATACATATACATATACATATACATATAATATACACATACACACATACACATATATATAAACCTGGGAAGAATTTACCATAAAATTGGCTTAATGGCAAAATTAACATTATCATCTGTTAAAAGAAAAATGAAAGACTACTTTGAAAAATGTTTTTAGAAAAATACACATTTTAGATAAATACACATTTCAAAAATGTTATCTTGTAATTGCCCTAGAGCTGGGTAGCTAAGAAAAGGGATGAGGGAGACTTTTCTCTATGTGTTCTTTTTTTTTCTTTAAAATTTTGTTTTAGTTGTAAATGGACACAATATCTTTTTTTTTTTTTTAAATATGGTGCTGAGGATCGAACCCAGTGCTTCACACGTGCGAAGAAAGTGCTCTACCACTGAGCCATAACCCCAGGCCCTCATCATATATTCTTATTTACTTTCTGAATTTTGAGCCATATAACGAAAAATGTAAATACATTTTTATTAAAAAGATCAAATGGGGGCTGGGGTTGTAGCTCAGTGGTAGAGTGCTTTCCTGCCCAGGTGAGGCACTGGGTTGGATCCTTAAGCACCCCATGAAAATAAGTAAATAAAATAAAGGTATCGTTTCCATCTACAACTAAAAAAATAAATAAGCTTATAGTTATTAGGAAATAAAATTAAAATATTTAGATAACAGAGGTGAGGAGGAAGCACGCTTGCTTTGATTGGAGGCCACAAGAAAGTTAGTCCCCTAGACTGTCAATACAATATCCTCCCTAGATCTCAATTAGGTTGTTCTTCAGACTAATAGTTGTTTTATTTTTGTTTAAATTTGGGGGAAGAGGAATGATAATCTGTCTCTCTGTCCCCCAATTAAGTAGATCTTCTCTAATAAGACCTTTATTCTTACTGTTCAAATCCCATTAACTCTAACCAGCACAATGATTAAGCATATTGTGGTTATTCTAGTTGATAAGGACTCCTTGGGGGTTGCGGGGGGGGGGGGGGTTCCCATAGTGACAGGTAAAGACTATCATCAAACTCAGCTTTTCAGCCCAGGGCTTGGTGTCAGAGATCAGGGAGTTAAGATTGTTTTAGCTTGAATCTAGAGGCTTTCTTTTTGAATGTCTCTTGACTTCATTCATTCAAACAGCACTCAGGGAAAGTCCTATAAGCAAGACACAGTACCAAACAGGGAGGGTTGGGAGGGGAGTCAGGACAGAGAATCCCTTAAAGATAAGATATTGTTCCTGCCCCCAAAATCGCATTCTGCAGAGGAAAGCAACTATGACAAGAAATGATGACATTAGGATGACCATTCAACCCCACAATCTATAACCAAGTCTTGTCCTCACCACTAGGACTGGTCAGTTTCTAATCTAGTTTCATTTTCCCATCTTCAAGCTGAAGCACAGCTGGGTTTCCAGCTGGCTGGGGAAGAAAAGATTCTTTAAATAAATGGCATTTTAAAAATATGCAGTCGCTTTTGCTATACTGAATTTTGTGAACCACCTTCCTCTAATATATAATTCTGGGTGCCAAATTAATTTAGAACTCTCTTAAAGGGCTGGGGATTGTAGGTCAGTGGTGGAATGCTTGCCTAGCATGTACAAAGTCCTGAATTCAATCTATAGTACAGCAAAATAATAACAACAATAGTAATACAAATAAAACTATTCTAAAGAATATAAAGTCTCCAAGAAATACACCTTGTTCATGTTTAACAACAAAATACACTATACTCTGGAAAATAGCAAATGAGAAAGTCCCTGTGGAAGAAATGTTCTTTTTTTTTATTGCTAACTATTGCATTTACTCAATAAGGAAAGAGCTTAAAAACATGTTTATAAGAAAGCAACAAGATGGGGTGTAATTATACCAAAATACATGCAACCATCTTTGAAAATGCAAGATTATTTGCAGAACTGGATTCTTTTATAGCATGTCAAAGAGTTGCTAATCCCTGCAAGGCCATCTAACTCCATTTCTTCTCCTTTTCACTGAATGCACAGAAAACACCTCCATGTATGCAATCCTCTAGAAGTGCAAAGATTTTATTCAACTCTTTACCACCAGAGGTAGTATTTTTGGATAAATGATACACATGAGAACTGTAAAAATGCCCCTCTGCATAGGTGATGATATTTATCATTTGACAGTATATTGTCAATGCAGCAAGACCCCCACCTACCATTGTCCACCTTAGTTCACAGACTTAAAGTCAACATTTCACAGTTGAAATCAGCCATATAGGAGGACCATTTAAAAGATGTGCAATGTGACCCCACATTGATGCTACTGAGGCATTGCCAACTTTTAAGCACATATACCTCTTGGAATCCAGACACACTCAGAGCAGGAACTGGCTAAACAAAGTAACAATTCAACCTCAGTTGCTCAATATAACAGCCACAACGACAGTTTCCAAGTGCCAGTTTCCCTATTTTGCAACGGGCAAATCTGCTCCAAGGAGAAAATGTTCCCAGTGACCCTGTGGCCCAGAGGGCTTTCTTTAGAATAGAAAACAGAAAATGAATTTGTTAGCTATTTCCTGCTGAACATAAGGAAGGTGTTGTGGTTAGATAGGATGAGTTTGTTTCCTTATTTAATTATACTATAACAGTACCTGTTTTCTTTAACCACATGGTAGAAAATAAGAAAATGTAGTTAATATTCTTTTGTCATCACCAATGCCACAAGTCTCCTCTCACAAACAGGCCTTTTACTTTCTAATCCGCTTACGTAAAACACCCCAAACTGACTCCCTATTCACTATGAATTCAAAGCAAAATTTTTTGCATTCTAAAACATTACTGCCATACACATTCCTGCTCCTCTATAATTTATGATGTGTGAGGGCCTTCCCTTTACCAGTGATTGCAATCCTAAATTTATCTTTCTGAGAACTATACTACACATGCTATTTTAATAATATAACTAAAAGCAGACTATATTTCTGACCCTTATCTCTTTCATGATCTCTGCATTCAGTGGTTAAACTATTAAATGTTCACTAAAACCAACAAGGTATAACTGATAAGGCATATTGTGTTGGGAGGAGAAAGGAAGAGATGGGAACAAGGGGACAGAGAAGCCTACTACTCTATGGGGATATCTGACAATGACTGTCAGGTCCTCAGTGGCCCAGACTAGAGATCATGTGAAGATGTGCACTTTGCCTATCAGGAATAATTCAACAAAACCCCAAACAGAAGCTGTCCTTGAACAAGGTTCAGTAAATGTTTTTACTGTCTATTTCCTACTGCACAATACAGTTCCACAGATTCCCAAGGGATCTCAGACAAAATACTTAATAGAATAAAAAATTAGAAATTCTTAACTGGTCTCAACTTGTCATCATAAAATATTTAGGAACATAAAACCAACATTAAAAAACAGTCAACAATATTCCTTAGAATAATGTCAGCACCATAAACTGCTGTTATCTCTGAAGTTTTTTCTCTCCTTATTAAGACACTGCCAAGATTCTTCTCATTAAAGTGATCGCAGTTTAACATAGTGCCTAGATATACTCCCACAACTAAACTCCTAAAATTTGCCTCTTGAAGGTGCGGGGGAGGGAAGCTTCCAAAAGTCAAAGGCATTAATCTAGAAAGAAGAGAGCAGCAAAACTTCCAATGAGCTGTTACACATATTTTGCTACTCAAGGCTATCTACACTAACCAGATTCAATTGGTAAACTGGTAAACATACCAACTTCTCTAAGAATCCAGGTCATCTATGGAAATTCAGTGGTTATACAGTCCAGAGTCACAACAAATGCCACAGATTCAGCCTAAGAACAAAATGAAACCCCAATATGAATAAGCACAGGACAGGCTGACAGAATACTCCAATGAAGGGACAATTCAGTTTAAATATCTTACTGAGAAGTAAGTACTGGATTCAGGGACAAAAAGAAAAAGCTCGTAAACTGACATTTCTTTGACTTCCATTCTCGGCTTCAGGGATCTCCAGATTCAGTGATTTGATTCAAATCACCTGCATTCTTGTGCAGCACCCAACATCATGAAGATAAGAGATGCAGTGGATACATCCGGCCAGGAAGATGTCAAAGCTGAATTTACAGCATTCAGCAGAAGTAAGTTACTCTATTTCATCATCATCATCATCCAAAGCTCTAGTAAGATCCTCCAAAAACCGCTTAAAGGGGTGTCTGCTAGCGGTCCTGGAGGTTTGCTGTGCTACCCGCTCGGCAAAGACAGGCAATCACCATAGAGGGGGAGAAAAGGAGCCACATGGAGGACGGAAAACAGTAGCAGAAAAAGTCCAACTCTGCCTGCGCCAGCGGTGTGGATGGCAGAGCAGTGAGCCCCAGGAGAGGAAGGAGGGGGCGGGGGATCATTCCCTAGGAGAACTTGTAAGCGGAGGCCTTTACAGCCTGAGAGTCTGCCCAGCTGATCCTGCAGACCCTGCCAGCCTGGGCAAGGCAGGCCCTTGAGAGCAGAGCGGGCGAGGCCTCGGAGGGTCACTCCTGACTCACTGAGCCTCAGGCCAGCACTGCCCGGACCTTTTCGTGTTTCTCCTTCCGCTACTGGGCTATGATGGCAGCTTTCCAGCTCCACATGCCATACATCAGCCGCAGATCCCAGCTGGCACAGGCCGGAGCCTCCCCCCAGCCCCCCGACCCTGGCACACTTTTGAGCCTGATCCTACTTCTCCTCAACCTCAACCCCCTCACCCACCCATGCCAGGCGCCCTGCCCAGGAGTGGCCCCACCCCCTCCAGCGGCCGGACGCTGCCAGGCCTGGGCACCTGCAGCATCTCCCCTCCCCACCCCCATTCTCCATCATCTCTTCCCTCCCCCCTTCTCCAGCAGAGGGAGGGGGCAACTCACCGCAGTCAGTGCACAGGATCTTGCCCACCTCTTTCTTGAGGTTTTTGCTGTTGGTGTCAAGGGGGGCAAAGGCCGTCTTAAAGACTAAGGGCTGCTCCGTGGGCTCCAGGAAAAAGATGTAGCGCTGGTTCCTTTCGAGAGGCGCACAGGAGCCCACGCTGATCACCTGCTCGCGCTGCAGCCCCCCACTCCGGAGCGGCCACTTGTCCAGCACCTTCACGAGCGCTACCCGACCCGTGGCGGGCGGCTCGCGGGTGCTGTTTGAGCTGGAGCCGCCAGCCGGAGCCAGTCCCTGTACCTTGCCCTCCACCACTACGGGTGCCTTGTATGCCTGGTCCTGCACAGACTTGAGGCTGGGCGAGTAGCAGGCGAGCGACACACCGAAGAGCAGCATGGAGAAGCCGGGGGCCGGGTCGCGCCTCATGCCGCCGGCGGCTGCGACTCGCGAGCGGG